ATGGCGCTGACGGAAACCTGTGCTAGCCACACGTAGAAAGCTGCACTGGGGATCCCTTCGCTTTACAACTTTTATATGAAAATTAATTCAAGATGGAATTAGAGACTTAAATGTTAGAGCTAAAATCATAAAGAACACTAGTAGAAGAAACCTAGGCACATACCATTCACGAAACTGGCGATGGGGCAAGGACTTCATGTCTTAAAACACCAAAAGCAACAGCAACGCCAAAAGTCAAATGGACAATGGGATCTAACTTAAACTAAAGAGCTTTCTGCATGGCAAAAAGGAAACCTCTTCGAAGTGCAACAGGGCAACCTACAGAATAGGAGAACATTTTTGCAATCTACTCATCTGACAAAGGGCTAATATCCAGAACCTACAAAGAACTCAAACAAATTTGCAAGGAAAAAACAAAGAACCCCATCAAAAAGTGGGCAAAGGATATGAACAGACACTTCTCAAAAGAAGACATTTATGTAGCCAACAGACACATGAAAAAAATGCTCATCATCACTGGTCATCAGAGAAATGCAAATCAAAATCACAATGAGATATCATCTCACAGCAGTTAGAATGGTGATCATTAAAAAGTCAGGAAAACAACAGGTGCTGGAGAGGATGTGGAGAAAAAGGAACACTTTTACACTGTTGGTGGGACTGTAAACTAGTTCAACCATTGTGGAAGACAGTGTGGCAATTCCTCAAGGATCTAGAACTAGAAATACCATTTGACCCAGCCATCCCATTACTGGGTATATACCCAAAGGATTATAAATCATGCTGCTATAAAGACACATGCACACGTATGTTTATTGCAGCACTATTCACAATAGCAAAGACTTGGAACCAACCCAAATGCATCACTGACAGACTGGACTAAGAAAATGCGGCACATATACACCATGGAATACTATGCAGCCACAAAAAAGGATGAGTTCATGTCCTTCGTAGGGACATGGATGCAGCTGGAAACCATCATTTTCAACAAACTATCACAAGAACAGAAAACCAAACACCATGTGTTCTCCCTCATAGGTGAGAGAGAACACCTGGACACAGGATGGGGAACATCACACACCGGGGCCTGTCGTGTGGTGGGAGGAGGGGGTTGGGATAGCATTAGGAGATATACCTAACGTAAATGACGAGTTAACGGGTACAGCACACCAACATGGCACATGTACACATATGTAACAAACCTGCACGTTGTGCACATGTATCTTAGAACCTAAAGTATAATAAAAACATTTTTAAAAAGATACATCATTAAGTTATTTATTATTTATTTGAAGTTTTTCTTCTTTTTTGATTAGGCTCTTACAGCTATAAACCTCTCTTTGCGTACTGTTTTTGTTGTATCCCACAGGGTTTAGTATGTTGTGTTTCCATCATCATATGTTTCAAGAAATTTTTCAATGCTCTTTTTAATTTCTTCCTTGACCCACTGGTCATTCAGGAGCATACTGTTTAATTTCCATATGTTTATATTGTTTGAAAATTCCCCTTGTTTTAGATTTCTAGTTTTATTCCACTCTGGTCACAGAAGATGCTTGATTTTTTTTTTTTTTAATGTTTTAAGACTTGTTTTGTGACCTAACATATGCTCTATCCTTAAGAATGATCCATGTGCTGATAAAAAGAATGTGTATTCTGCAGCTCTTGGATGAAATTTTCTGTATGTATCTGTTAGATCCATTTGATGCATAGTACAAATTAAGTCCAATGCTTCTTTGTTGGTTTTCTGTCTGGAAGATCTGTCCAATGCTGAAAGTGGAGTGTTGAAATCTCCAGCTATTATGGTATTGAGGTCTACCTTTGTCTTTCTCTCTCATAACATTTGCTTTATATATCTGGGTGCTCCAGTGTTGGGTGCATATATATTTAAAGTCGTTACATCCTCTTGCTGAAATGACTCTTTAGCATTAAATAATGACCTTCTTTGTCTCATCCTACACTTTTTGTCTTTTGTAAGTGTAGGAAGAGACAGACATTTTGTCTGATATAAGTATAGCAATGCCTGTTCTTTTTCGGTTTCTACCAACATGGAATGTCTTTTTCCATCCTTTTCAGTCTACGTCTATTTTTATAGGTGAAGTGTGTTTCTTGTAGGCATCAGATCAGTAGGTCTTGTTTATCCATGCAGTTACTCTATGTCTTTTGATTGGAGAGTTTAGTCCATTTACATTCAATGTTATTATTGATAAGTAAGAACTTACTCTTGCCATTTTGTTACTTGTTTTCTGGTTGTTTTGTGTTCTCTTGCTTCCATCTTTTCTTCCTGTTTTCCTTTTAATGAAGGTGGTTTTCTCTGGTGGTATGATTTAATTTCTTGTTTTTTATTTTTTGCGTATCCATTTTACGTTTTTAGATTAGAGGTTACAATGAAGCTTGCATATACTGTTTTATTAATATAATCCATTATTTTAAATTGATGACAACACTGATTGCATATATCATCAAGCAAAAAGAAAACTAATAAAAATTCTACCCTGCTTTTTCACTTTTTGTTGTTTCTACTTATGGCTTATTGCACTGTCCATGTCTTGAAAAGTTGTTATAATTATGTTTAATCAGTTCATGTTTTAGTCTTTCTACTCAAGACATGAGTACTTTACACACAATTCTAGTGTTACAATATTCTGCTTTTCTGTGTACATACTATTACCAGTGAATTTTGTGCCTTCTTAAAATTTCTTCTTGAATGATTTCTTCTTGCTTACTATCATCCTTTTCTTTCAGACTGAAGAGCTACCTTTAGCATTTCTTATAGGACAGGTCTAGGTCTGTTGTTAATGAAATCCCTCAGCTTTTGTTTGTCTGGGAAAGTCTTTATTTTTCCTTTACATTTGAAGGATATTTTCACTGGATATACTATTCTAGGGTAAAAGTCGTTTTCCTTCCTCACTTTGTGTCATGCCACTCTCTCCTGGCCTGTAAAGTTTCCACTGAAAAGTCTGCTGCTACATGTATTAGAGTTCAATCACATGTTGTTTCTTTTCTCTTACTGCTTTTAGGATCCTTTCTTTATCCTTGACCTTTGGGAGTCTGATTATTAAATGTCTCAAGGTAGGCTTCGTTGGGTTAAATTGGCTTGATGTTCTATAACCTTCTTGTACTTCAATGCTGACATCTTTCTCTAGGTTTGGGAAGTTCTCTGATATTATTCCACTGAATAAACTTCCCATCCCTATCCCTTTCTCTACTTCCTCTGTAAGGCCAATATCTCTTAGATTTGCCCTTTTGAGACTATTTTCTAGATCTTATAGGTGTGCTTCATTCTTTTCTTTTTTCTTTTGTCTCCTCTGACTGTGTATTTTCAAAGAGTCTGTCTTCAAGCTCACTAATTCCTCTTCTGGATCAATTCTGCCACTAAGAGACTCGGATGCATTCTTCAGTGTATCAACTGCATTTTTCAATTCTAGAATTTCTGCTTGATTCTTTTTAACTATTTCAATCTCTGTTAAATTTATCAGATAGAATTCTACATTCCTTCTCTGTGTTACCTTGAATTTCTTTGAGTTTTCTCAAGATAGCTATTTTGAATTATGTGTCTGAAGGGTCACATATCTCTCTGTTTCTCTAGTATTGGCCCCTGATGCCTTATGTAGTTTGTTTGGTGAGGTGATATTTTCCTGGATGATCTTGATGCTTACAGATGTTCATCAGTTTCCGGGCACTGAAGTTAGGTATTTATTGTAGTCTTTATAGTCTGGGCTTATTTGTGCTTATCTTACTTGGGAAGGCTTTCCAGGTTATTCAAAGGGACTTGGGCCTCAAGCCCAATAATGTTGTGGTTCTTGCAGACTGGTAGAGGTACTGCCTTGGTGGGCTTGGATAAATCTGGGAGAACTCTCTAGATTACCAGGCAGAGACTCTTGTTCTCTTCCTTTGTTCTCTTCCCAATCATTGTGCGCTCCCCCCACAAAGTGCGGAGATTCTCCATGCCACACTGCTGCTGCCAGGGGATGGGAGAGCAGAGGCACTGGCAATTTAAGACTGTCTTTCCTACCCTCTTCAGTGCCTCTTTCAGCAATATGAAGTTAAAACCAGATACTGTGATTGCCCACCTGATTTTTGGTTATGATGGTGCTTTTTTGTGTGCAATTAGTTGCTAAAATTTTGTGTTCCTGCAGGGGCGACAATCAGTGCAGCCCTCTATTTGGCGATCTTGCTCCACCCTTCAAGATTTGTATTTAAAAACTAAGATCTAGCATATAAAGGAATGAAGTACTATATTCAAAAACATACATGAACCTTGAAAACATGCTAAGTGAAAGATGCCAGAAACAAAAGGCTACATATGGTCCAGAAAAGGCAAATCCATAAAGATAAAAAAGTAGATTAGTAGTGGCCAGGGGATAGAGTGAAGGGAGACTGGGCAGTCTCAGCTATGGAATTTTTTTTAAGGGGTGATGAAAATGTCCTGCAATTACATACTGGTGATGGTTGCAAAACTTGGAAGTGATCAAAAACCAATGATACACTTCAAAAGAGTAAATTTTATAGTATAAAATTATGTCTCAATTTTAAAAAACCAAATTTGTGCACAAAGTGTGCTCACTGGTATTGTTTCTAACTCCTCTCAAAGGACAGCTCTGGGAAAGAGATGTTTCTATATTCACTTCATGTATGACACATGAACATGCATATACACGCATCCAACATCTAGCTATTGATACATAAAACCCACACTGCTATCTCCAATTCCAGTCTAATACCATGAGGCTCATTCTGTCCTTCCCCCTATTCAGATTTTTAATTCCCTCCTATGACAGCAAGAAATCTGAGAATCTCAGAATTGGAATCCGGACAGTTCAGCTCTCCTAACCATTACCTTTACGCTGACCATTTACTTTAACAAAACTACAACTTACTGAATAAAATTCAGCAAACTTCTCTTAACTGATACTCACAGTGATACTGTCCAAGAGTTTGGCCATATGTTTAATAATTTCACCATGTTGAACAGGTTGCATTTGCAGTAATTTCTTTATAACAACCACACTTTCAGCAACAACTATTTCTGAAAAAGATAGAAATTATTCATACTAAATATGTATAATTCAATTCAAATGCAATATGCTTGGTAAAATGTAAACTTAAATTAGAAAGACATTCTATTCAATACATGCCTTAAAAGACTATGTGAAAAGTATAACCGCCCTGAGTGCACTTCCAAATCTGAGGTGTGAACATCTGTCTCAACTAGGAGAGTTAACTTTAATTTCTAACCTCTGTTGCTGTCTCCTAGCTTCTGTAGTTCCCTATCTCTGCATCTTTAGATCAAGAAAGCAAGAGAGGTTGGATTATGCTGCCCACCATAGTGTTCTATGTCTTTGGCTTTTAACCAGGTCCTCAAATAATGCTCTTTGATTCCTTTAAATTATATAGTTGAAATCAATTATCTACAATCTAAACAACATTTTCCCTATTCTGCAGAAAACAGCAAACTAAAACACTAGAAAACAATTTCCTTAAGCAAAATGTCCAGAAAAGTGAGTAGTAAAGATGAGTGGTAGTAGGAAAGACGTTACTGTAGAAATAGCATGGAGTGCGAAACCAGAAAGAATGGGATTGTGAGCTGGATTGTCTCTATTTGTTCTATAAAGTCCACTCTGCCTTTCTTTCCCCAGCACTGTGCCTGAAGAGGCTCACCTGTAGTCTGCCTCAACCAGACTCCCTTGGTCCTGGCTTACAGCTGTGTTTAGTCAACAGAAAGCTTCAGCAGGAGTTGGGGGAGGGAGGAGATATTTATTATCCTGGATCCCTACTCTGCCAGCCTCCTCTACCTGGTATCACATGCAATCCCCTACTCAAGGTACTGCAAGTGCCTCTCTTCTGCAGGGTCTGGTAACTGCTTCTGCTCCTCACACCCCTTCCCTTTAATCTGAGGTATGGTAAAGGCCTCCCACGATTGATAGCCTGTCAGCTCTAGGGTGTTACATTATATCTTGTTGGTTTCCCTTAATCCTGCCCACAGTTTACAAATAGTTCATTCACTAAATTCGCTTCAATCATCCCGTTTAAGTGTGCCATCTGTTTCTTGCCAGAGCCTTAACTAATATAGTAACTGCTACTAGATGTGGATAGGAAGCAAATCCTCAAACTGGGATTACGGGATTGAGTTATCACACTAAACTGGCCAATCATTGGTCCAGTTTCTTTTTGGTGGTACTGGTAAAGAAATGTACTATAACTCATCTGAGAACCTGACCTTATGAAATGAATCTTATATAATGTGTTATTAATGCTAGTGATGCCAGAGAAATAAATCAACATTGTCTTTACTTATTATTTTGATATTTTTATTAATAGGGCTTCATGGCTATTAGGAATTCCCCTAGTGTATACTACAAAGGTTTATTTTAATATTATATTAGAAATACCATGATTTGTGTCCTATTACTCTTTTTTTTTTTTTTTTTGAGACAGAGTCTTGCTCTGTCACCCAGGCTGGAGCGCCGTGGCGCAATTTCAGCTCAATGCAACCTCCGCCTCCCAGATTCAAGCAATTCTCCTGCCGCAGCCTCCTGAGTAGCTGGGATTATAGGCGCACACCACCACACCTGGCTAATTTTTTTATTTTTAGTAGAGATGGGGTTTCTCCATGTTGGTCAGGCTGATCTCAAACTCCTGACCTCATGATCCACCTGCCTTTGCCTCCCAAAGTGCTGGGATTACAGGCGTGAGTCACGGCGCCCGGCCTACTGTTTCACTGAAATGCATTTTTTATACAGCTCCCTTTAAGAATATAAACAAAATTCATCATTCTAATCCTTAGTAAATATATGTATTTCAAACTGTTTACCTATTTATCCATAAGAATAGTAAATTAACTAATATTGACCAGGCACAGTGGCTCAGCACTTTGGGAGGCCGAGGCAGGAGGATGGCTTGATCTCAGGAGTTCAAGACCAGCCTGGGCAACACAGAAAATCCCATGTCTACAAAAAATACAAAAATTAGCCAGGAGTTATAGTACGTGCCTATAGTACCAGCTATTCAGGAGGCTGAAGTAGGAGAATCACCTGGGCCCAGGAAGGTTGAGGCTGAAGGGAGCCGTGATCACAACACTGCACTCCAGCCTGAGTGACAGAGTGAGAAAAGAAAAAACAAAAAAAAAATCTAGTATGACTTAACTAAAAGCTAACTAATATTAATGCTTTAGTTTATAAAACGACATCATGTTTCATTAACGTCTCACAATAATATAAGGTAGGTACCTTATTATTATTATTTTAAAGATGAAGAAAGGGAGATGCACTGGAATTATATCACTTTGTCTAGAATTCAAACTCAGAACTAGGATGTACATTCTACCTATATATGTTCTATGTTATTATAAGCAAGTATTACTTTTTTTTTTTTTTTGAGACAGAGTTTTGCTCTTGTTGCCCAGGCTGGAGTGCAGTGGCGCCATCTCGGCTCACTGCAACCTCCACCTCCTGGATTCAAGCAATTCTCCTGCCTCAGCCTCCCAAGTAGCTGGGATTACAGGCACCTGCCACCACACCCACCTAATTTTTTGTATTTTTAGTAGAGATGGGGTTTCGCCACGTTGGGCAGACTGGTCTTGAACTCCTGACCTCAGGTGATCCACCCACCTCGGCCTCCCAAATGCTAGGACTACCGGCATGAGCCATCGCACCCGCCTATAGGCAAGTATTACTTCTATAACGACTACCTCTTGGTGCTATGAGGAAAGCAAAGGTAAATGAGAATTAGATTCTGCCCTCATCAAACTTACACTCTAGTAGAAAAATAAATGGTTATGTGATTACTATGCAAAGCTAAATTTGGTAAGTGTGGTTTTAAAGAATGCACAGTATAACAAATTTGTATTTTAAAAATACATTATTGCAAAACTAGCCTAAGTAAGAGAAAAAATGTCACATAATTTAATTATCTACAAGCAGAGGCAGGATCGGCTATAGCTGAAAAAGGTGTTTGGCATCATTTATCTTTAGGAACTACATTAGTTTCCTATTGTTGCTGTCACAGATTACTAAAAACATAGTGGCTTAAAACGATGCAAATTTATCATTGTACAGTTCTAAAGTCAGAAGTCTAACATAGGTCTTATGGGACTAACATCAAGTTGTCAACAGGGCTGTGTTCCCTCTGGAAGTTTTAGGGGAAATCTGTTCCTTCCCCGTTCCAACTTCTCAAGCGTGCCCACTTTCCTTGGTTCAAAGACCTCTTCCAAGAATCACATTACCCTGACCTTCTGACATCTTCTGACTGACCTGCCTCTCTCTTTCCCGTATAAAGACCCACATGATAACATTAGGTCCATCCACATAATCTCCCCATCTATAGAAACTTGACTTAATCATATCTGCAAAGTCTCTTTTTCCATGTAAGGTAACATATTCACAGGTTCTGGGCATCTTTGGAGTGCAATAATTCTGCCTACCACAGGTGCCTTCTCATTCCCCTCAGGTAATTCCACTCTGCTTCTCTTTTATGCTACCTCTTGGTTTCCAAAGACCTCAGCACGTTGGTGCTACTCTATCAGAAGCACAAAATGATCCTATGTTTTAGATATTTCCTAACTTCCTCCTTGTCCTCAACAAAACTTAATGGACCTAACTCTAAAAAGTACAGCTACTATCATACCCATTTTACAAATGAAGAATCTGGCGCACAGGTAGATTGGGTAATTTACTCAGGATAGCTGTAACATTCAATATAGGTGGTACAGTCCTACATGTAAGCAAATAGCTGGCAAGAGAGTAAGTGGTCACTATATGGGGAGACTATAATATATTTGTCTTACATTACTATCTACCTCCAATAGACTATGAGCTCTATAAAGGCAGGAACCTTTTATAAGTTAAATAAATATCCTATTAATATGCTCAACATTTATTAAAGATCTCAACTGATTTAAGTCTTCAATAAATGCTTACTGAATTTTTTTTTTTTCTTTTTTTTTTTTTTTTCCCTAATTTTTTTTTTTTTTTTTTTTTTTTTTTTGAGATGGAGTCTCGCTCTGTTGCCCAGGCTGGAGTGCAGTGGCGTGATCTCGGCTCGACAAAACAGTCTTCTGCCTCACTCCTTTTAGAGTAGATGGCAATAAGGTTATTCAAAAAAGTAAATTTTGCTAATATGTTACCTAAAATAAATTACCTAAGTCAACTAAAATGTAGATTTCTCTTACTAAAGGTCTATAAGAAATTGGTTTATCAAATTAATCTTAGAGAGTAATAATGGACTGTTTTAGGGCAAGCTTCAAGTCTGCTTAGAAAGGTTCTTAACAACACACACACAAAACTAGAAGTCCAAGAGAAATATATTAAACATATATAAAAACAATTGAGCCCAAATGTCCCTGAGGTTTAAAGATTCATTATTTGAAGAGATGATGAGGTATTCATTTCAATATAAAAATCAAAGAATTATAGATTCCTAGAGCCTTAGAAGATTTTACAGATTTTAAAGAAACTGAGTCTTCATTCACAGTATTTATTCCTAAAAGTAGATCTTTTATTACAAAGAGGAAGGGGCTCTATTGTCAGGATGGCTATGTTAAAGTTAAAAATATTATGACTTTCTTTTATGTGACTAATTTTGATATAAATATTCTCCTTATTTGTTTTACCTCTCACTTTTACTGAGCCAGACTTCCAAACTACAAAAAATAGTGTAGCATATGTGATACAGAGATAATTAATCAGGTATTATGGGCTAATGATGATTATGCAAATATAATCTAGACAATACAATTTAAGTTTGTTAATATTCACTGCAGGGGAAAAAAAAAACATGGTTAAGAGTTTTATCAAAAAACAAAAGCCTAACCATTAAAATATCAGAATTTAAAATAGTAAATCCTTCTACTTTTAGAGAGGGAGTATATATTATATTAGTCTTTCATTTTCTAATTCTAAAACAATCTAGTCTTCCCTTAAAAGTGATATAGGGGTAGAATATTTATCTTTTAAAGTCACTAAAAATATTTGTTGAGAAATTAAATCTGAAGCAGAAATAACTGCTTTAAAATCCAAAGCTTGAAATTTTCCATCAGAAAAAAAAAGTCAAAAAATAAAATTGAGAAAATTTGAATATATTTTGTATTTGAATGAACTAATCAGTGTTCTAACTAACTTCCAGTGCTTTCCGTATACAACTAAAATGTAAAAGAACAATTGCCATGGCAAATCTTGGTTCATAATCTTTAATGGTACAAGGTTATTTTCCCAAGGTATGTATTTTATTTGGTCGAATAGAAAGTCATTATTAAAGGCACAGGAAAATTTCTTCAAAACACATTTTTAAAGTCACATTTTAAAATGTGACATAGAAACAGAGATAAAAGGATTAGTTATTGTTAAAAGTAGAAAGAGATCGAGTGGATGACACTTATCATCCTATCTCCACTAGCTATTTTGTAGAGATAAAAAAATTTTTAAACCTATTGTCTTGATAATTTTGGTTGGCATTTATTTGGAGTTTTAATACTACAGGTAGAAAAATCTTTAGTCATAATATCTTGAGTTTACAGGTACAAGTTTAAAATTTTATGCTCACAACAAAAATCAGTGTTATCTGGGAATAAAGTTTGTTCTAATTTTTTTCATCAGAAATACTTTCAACAATGTTACAGTTTTCTAAAGATAGCTACATGTGGGAAAAGGTAATTAGGGATTATAGGATTCTTGTACTAAAAAGTTATTTTTCAAATAAAATGTAATCAATTTTATTGTTTTACCTCATGGGCTGCTATATCATACATGTCCATATCTAGACATGACATAGACATAAGTATATTTTAAATCCCATAAATAATTTCAATGATTTTACAAAGAAAATTATGCTTTTCTTTAAAAAGTCTCATTTTCATTAAATACGTAATTATAATAAAAGTCCTTTAAACAAAATTATTTTAAAGGTAAAGTTGGCTTTTCTTTCTTTCTCTAAATGGCTCCATTTATTTTAAAGCCTTACCCACAGAAATAACTGACGCTTTGCCATAGAACAATATGGGATCTAGATTACATATTTTACTGGATATTACCTATCCAGTTTTACCAAACACTTAGATATTGTTTGGCTTAAAAACATAAAGCTACTCCAAGTTGATGGCTTTTAAATCTAGTTAATTTTGAATATAAAATTATTAGGTGAATTTCTGAGGAAAAAAATGTTGAAGGTATAACATGTTTTTTGATCTAGCCACTTCTCCATGTTATAGTCATTTGCCTGCTTTTAGCACCCTCTGCAGGTGAACCAATATTATGCATAACTTACATGCCATTAAAATGCAGTAAAAAGATGGAAAGGATACAATCAAGGTGATTAAACTGTAAAGAAGTAAAACATATTTTCATAGATCTGTTGCAGTAAAACAAATACTACCAGCTAGTTAACGGCCTATTTTACCTAAAAAAAAAAAAAAAAAAGAACCCAGAATATGCATATTTATGTGCGTTTCAAGGATAAAGTGCTACTTATTGTGACCATACTACTGACATAACTGGAAAAGCTCAAATGCAAAGTTAGAAAAAGTTACAACTTGGAAATCATACCAAGAATATTCAAATTACAAATCACTTGAAAACAAAATAAAACTGTGAACTTACCATCCCTGTTGGACAGCAGACAGACCAAGCCATTGAGGCACGTGTCAGTTACTTCCACGATGTTGGTTGCACATCTGCCTATAGTCTGAATAGTGGCTGCTGCAAATTGTTTATCCTGGCTTTTCACATAGGTCTAAAAGATATTATTTCAATTAGTTTACACATTGGTATTATCGAGTTAACCAAAAATCTGATTATATTAAATTTCGTCAATATGTAAGAATTCCGGAATATATAAACTTCTCATAAGCACAATATGAGGACCAAGTGATGATGTAGATTAATTTCATTTTGTTTTGATTTTTTTACTTAACGAATGTGCCTACGGACGAAGCACATTTTCAAGCCAGGCTCATTCACCTGTGGCCCTAGTGGCTTGAGACTGCAAAACAGATAGTAGGAGCAGTCACCCAAAGACAGCAATTAGTTTAAGTGCAAGGTTGAAAGAGATGATGAGAGCTCTCTCTTTGGAGGTTTCAGTTCATTTACCAGCAGCATCTGTGAATCTATGGAAAAAAAAGGTCACTTTTTCAGAGACACTAAATCTAAGAATTGGGAGAAAAGGAAGAAAGGGACCAGTAGGCTATTTACAAACATTTTACTTTCAAAATCTATCACAATGGTGGTAAAAGAATAATAGTTACAATGAACAGTATTTCAATAAAGACTTCAAATATTCACTTTATAATAAAATAAAATACCATACTTTTGAAACCAGTTTTCTTTAAAAGTATGCTTTAAAAATATACTGTAAAGGGTATATGTGTGTGTGTGTGTGTATATATAATATATATGTACACTATATATATTATATATATACACTATATAGTATACACACACATATAGTGTGTGTATACTATATACTATATAGAGCTCTATGTATAGTATATACTATATAGAGTTCTATATAGCGTGTATACTATATACTATATATATACACCATATACACACATGCTATATATATACACACACACTATATACATACAAATTTAAAAATAAAGAAATAAATCACTGATTTAACAACAGGAAGTTAAAAGATCTTTTAAAAATGTATAATAGCCCTAGAGAATTTCACTTTCGTTAGAACCTTCCTAATTTTTACATGACAAAAGCTTCCACTGTTTACAGAAATATACATACTTTATATCATATATATGAAATTTGAAATGTCATTAACAATTGAAATTTTTAAGAAAGAGTCCCAACCTCAAATAAGAAGTATACAATGTAGACTTAACACTATGGTTATCAAAAATGCAAAAAAAGTATATACATTTAAGTGGTGTCTAAACAACAAATGGAGGAGAAAATCTAAAGATATCTAAAAAAATACAAATCTGCTAAAAATGGTACCCACAAGGTGATTAAATGTTGAAGAAATAAATTAATTAAACTATCCTAGTTTTTTATATTTAAAAGTGTTCCTGAATAATTTAATTTCCTTAACTAAAAATATATACTTATGAGTCTTTAGAAACATTCCCTATTTTACCCAAAAAGTTGCTAAAAGTATAACTATGAGCATAACACCAAATATAGACAGAAGGTACAAATTTAGAGAGTGATAAAAATGAATACATGAAAAAAATATACTTAAAAGTTTGACTGAAAAACGGACCTTATTAAACATCCCGATATCAAATGAAAAGACTAGATGACCAAAATTTTGAAACAGGTCTAGTATGTGCCCTCTATACAACCCATTCCATAAGATTACCTAAGTCTCCCTTCGTACAATCCTAGGAGACTTGATATAAGCAAAAAGTAGACAGTGAGAGGACACCCAAAGAGACTAGACAGGACAACAGGAAAGGAACAAGAATAAACACAAAGACCAGTACTTTAAATAAATAACATTATAAGAATGAAGTGAAAATCAAATTTAAGCAATGATCAACAGCTATAAGATTACTGAATAAGAACATAAAATACTATATTTTCTGTCATATAAATGAGTGCATTTCCAGAACATCTTAATTTTTTAAGAAATTTGTCTAGAAAGATACACATCATAAAAGTAGAGTCATCCAGGTATGAAAATATAAATTATGGACATGCCATATTATTCTACTACTCCTGTAAAAAATTTAAAAATCACATAGCTAAAAAGAAATAGTGTACATAGTGTCTTATACCCAAGAAGAAATTTAATACTGGCATATAGGAGAACTATGGTAAAAAATACATCTCTGAAAGTTGGAAGCTGATAAAAGAAAAACTCTGTGATTACTGCATAGTATGTGGTGTATTTTTGTTAAGAAAACAGATAATGGAATGTAAAAGTCATGATACTGATGTAAAGTTTTCTACTGCTGTGCTCTACCACTAAGGTTTCAGAGATGACCTTTCCATCATAAAGGGTATGATGTCCATGAAGTAGTTTTTGAATAATATTTTGGGGGGAAATGCAGCTAGGAAGATTCTTATACGGCATAAAAGTACAACAAAACAAATCAAAATATAAAACAGCAATTTAAAAAATCATAGTGGGGCAATTATAAACAACATTTTTGAGCTATATATGAGGCCACGGGGGTAGTGTCAAAAATAGTGATAGGTCAATAAAATAGGAACAACCAGGTAAGAAATGAAGCCACTTTCATGACCACAGAGTACAGAAAGGACTATTTATGTTGGCAGCACAAAAAGATGAAATTCTTACCAGAAATGCAATTTCAAACAAAGACAGAGTTATAAACCAAAGTCCTTCAAAGTCTATGAAAATATGAAAGAGAATACTATGTTTTCCTTAAATTATAAATTTGTAATTATTCTTACAAATTTGTAAATTTCTTAGTTGTCAATCTTGTACCAATCACTATTTTATGTACATAATTACTTATTTCTAGATAGAAAAAGATGCATATTTAAGACTGAACATATGTTTTAGAAGTTTTTTATAATTAGCACTGTACACAAACCTGAAATTCTCGAAGAAGAGTTGATATGTTGGCTTCATTTGCCAAGTTTGTCAAAATTTCAAGCTGTAGAAGACAAAAGAGAAAGTAAACATTTAAAAACAATGGTAGCAAGATGAATTTAATAAAGTAGAGGCATTTAATTGAAAGTTTATTTCACTTTTAAAAATCACATTGTCGGCCAGGCACGGTGACTCACACCTGTAATGCCAACACTTTGGGAAGCCGAGGCAGGCGGATCACCTGAGGCCAGGAGTTCAAGACCAGCCTGACCAACATGGAGAAACCCCGTCTCTACTAAAAATACAAAATTAGCCAGGCATGGTGGTGCATGCCTATAATCCCAGCTACTCGGGAGGCTGAGGCAGGAGAATCGCTGGAACCCAAGAGGCAGAGGTTGCAGTGAGCCGAGATCGCGCCATTGCACTCCAGCCTGGGAAACAAGAGTGAAACTCTGACACACACACACACACACACACACAGAAACTCTGACACACACACACACACACACACACACACAGAATAACATTGTCGCCAATGTGGTAAGGCATTACACCCTTCAGGTCAACTTAGTCTACTTTCTTATGTTCACAAACTGATACCAGACAATTCCTGGTTCTTTGAAAATAATTTAGAAAAGGAGAATCCTACATCTTCACTAATTGTTTGCTCAATGCAAACTTACAATTTATATCTAATTAACCTAAGCAGTTCTGCCAGTTTGGCTTTTGTCTTTTAGCAAAGTTAGAAAACAATTTGCCCTCCATGTTAATACATCTGTTTTCCAGACAGCAATTAATTCTTTTGATTTGTTCTCCTATAATCTACCATCCCATATACTCAGACATTTTAATTCCCTCTTCTGGATTTATAGATATAAACAATGTGTAATCTCCAATGGGCTTGTGAAAAAAAAATTTTACTAATAAAAAATATTTAGTCTTAAGAAAATCACAAAAAAACAGAAGAGACAAACAGAAGCAAATCAAGATGTGAACATAAATACATTCATATCAGCAATTACATTAAATAAAGCCAAATATTTATAGCCCCAACTGATTTTTGACAAGGCAAACAGAAACACAAAATGGGGAAAGGATACCCTATTCAACAAATGGTGCCAGGATAATTGGCAAGCCACACGTAGAAGAATGAAACTGGATCCTCATCTCTCATCTTATATAAAATTCAACTCAAGATGGATCAAAGACTTAAATCTAAGACCTGAAACCATAAAGATTCTAGAAGATAACATTGGAAAAACCCTTCTAGACACTGGCTTAGGCAAAGACTTCATGACCCAAATCCAATAACAAATGCAACAAAAACAAAGATAAATAGATGGGGCTTAATTAAACTAGAAAGCTTCTGCACAGCATAAGAAATAATCAGCAGAGTTAACAAACAACCCACAGAGTGGAAGAAAATCTTCACAGTCTATACATCTGACAAAGGACTAATAGCCAGAATCTACAAAGAACACAAAGAAATCAGCAAGAAAAAAGCAATCCCACCATAAAGCAGGCAAAGGAAATGAATAGACAATTCTCAAAGATATACAAATGGACAACAAGCATATGGAAAAACGCTCAACATAACTACTTATTAGGGAAATGCAAATCAAAACCACAATGCGAAACCACCTCACTCCAGCAAGAATGGCCATAATCAAAAAATCAAAAAATAATAGATGTTAGCATGGATGTGGTGAAAGGGAACACTTTTACACAGTTGGTGGGAATGTAAACTAGTACAACCACTACAGAAAACAGTGTGGTGATTCCTTTAAAAACTAAAAGTAGAACTACTGCTTGATCCAGCAATCCCACTACTAGGCATCTACCCAGAGGAAAAGAAGTCATTATACAAAAAATATACTTGCACGCACGGTTATAGCAGCACAATTTGCAATTGCAAAAATATGGAACCAGCCCAAATGCCCATCAATCAACATGTGGATGAAGAACATGTTATACATATACACACACACACTGTGGAATACTGCTCAGCTACAAAAAGGAACAAAATAATGGCATTCACAGAAATTACATAGAATTGGAGACTATTATTCTAAGTGAAGTAACTCAGGAATGGAAAACCAAACATCGTTATGTTCTCACTCATAAGTGGGAGCTAAGCTATGAGGATGCAAAGGCATACGAATAATACATTGGACTTTGGGGACTCAGGGGAAAGGGAAGGGGGTGGTGAGGAATAAAAGATTACACATTGGATGCAGTGACATTGCTTGGGTGATGGGTGCACCAAAACCTCAGAAATCACTACTAAAGATTAATGCAAGTAACCAAACACCACCACCTGTTCCCCAAAAACCTACTGAAATAAAAATTAAAAAAAAAAAAAAACCAAACAGTAAATGATCTAAATGCTCCAATCAGAAGGCACAGACTGTAGGAGGAGTTCTTTATATATTCTGGGTACAAATCATTTATTCAGACACATGTACTAGAAATATTTTTCCCAGATTATCTTTTAATTTTTAATTTTATTTTGATAACTGTATTTTAACTTTTGGACAACTTTTTTTTTTTTCTTTTCCTTTTTTTTTTTTATTTGAGACAAGGTCTTACTCTGTCACCCAGGCTGAAGTGCAGTGGTGTGATCATGGCTCACTGCAGCCTTAACCTCTGGGGCTCAAGCAATTCTCCCAACTGAGCCTCCCAAGTAGCTGGGACTACAGGTGCCTAACACCATGCTCAGCTTATTTTTAATTTTTTTGTAGGGATGGAGTCTCGTTGTGTTGCCCAGGCTGGTCTTAAACTCCTAGGCTCAAGCAATCCTCCTGCCTCAGCCTCCCAAAGTCCTAGGATTATAGGCATGAACCACTGCATCCAGCTGGACAACTTTTAAAAAACAATCTCAAACATACGGAAAAGCTACACGTATAGTACAAAGAACTGTTGTTTTTCTGAATGATTTGAGACTACAGATGCCAATCTGATGCTACATTATCCCCAAAACCTTCTATGTATATTTCCTATAAACAAGGATGTGTTCCACAGACTACAATACAACCAAGAAAATCAGGTTATTAAACTGATGTATTACTTTCACGTAATTTTCACTATGCATTTAAGTTTCAATAACTGTCTCAATGACATATAATAAAGGGATACAGTTCAATATCACATATTGCAGCAAGTTGTCTCCTTTGGTCTGAAACAGTTTCTTAGTCTTTCTTTTAACTTTTATGACCTTGACACTTTCACTAATTATAAACCAGGTTTTTTTGGTAAAATATCCTTGAATTTGGGTATAATTTAGATTTTATTATTAAACTCAGTCTTCATATGAATAATACATCATTCTAATATTGAACAGTCTTGAACAGTCCATAGTCCATCCTTTCCTCATTGGTTTGTAATATCTCCTCTACTACACGGTACATTTTTGCATGTATGGGCATGTTTCTAGGCTTTCTACTCTTTCTACTTACTTTTCTGTCTAAATAACATACTATTTTAATCACAACAGATTTACATTCCTAACTGCACTCTACACCATACTTATTACTTCCTGAAAACAATGCTCTTTCATAATCCCTTGTGTTAGCATCAATTATGTTTTTCACCTGCTCTAACCCTTCAACTTCCCGATCAACCTGCCAACCAAGAAAAAAATTCACAATATTATTCTTTTAAGATCCACCCAAACGTCATCTTTTCTAAACCTCTCAGAGAATTAGCTCCACCTTTCTGTTCTTCACAACACTCAATTCAAATATCCGTATCACTTAAAACACACAGTACTAAAATAAGTCAGTTACAGACAGGGTCTCACTCTATCACCCAGACTGGAGTGCAGTGGCATGCTCAACGGCTCACTGCAGCCTCAACTTTCTGGGCTCAAGCGATCTGCCCACCTCAGCCTCCCAAGTAGCTAAGATTATAGGCATGCACCACCACACCTGGCTAATTTTGATTTTTCTGTAGAGACAGAGTCTCACTACGTGGCCCAAGCTGGTGTCGAACTCCTGAGCCTCAAGCAATCATCCTCCTACCTTAGCCTCCCAAAGTGCTAGCAATACAGGGATGAGCCACTGTGCCAAGCCCTGAGTTATTTATTTATTTATATTATTACACATTAAGTTCTAGGGTACATGTGCACAACGTGCAGGTTTGATACATAGATATACGTGTGCCATGTTGGTTTGCTGCACCCCTTAACTCGTCATTTACTTTAGGTATTTCTCCTAATGCTGTCTCTCCCCCAGCCCCCAAACCTCTGACAGGCCCCGGTGTGTGATACTCCCCACCCTGTGTCCAAGTGTTCTCATTGTTCAATTCCCACCTATGAGTGAAAACATGCGGTGTTTGGTTTTCTGTCCTTGTGATAGTTTGCTGAGAATGACGATTGCCAGCTTCATCCATGTCCACGCAAAGGACATGAACTCATCCTTTCTAATGGTTGCATAGTATTCCATGGTGTATATATGCCACATTTTCTTAATTCAGTCTATCACTGATAGACATCTGGGTTGGTTCCAAGTCTTGTGATTGTGAACAGTGCTGCAATAAACATATGTGTGCATGTGTCTTTATAGTAGAATGATTTATAATCCTTTGGGTATATACTCAGTAATGGGATCACTGGGTCAAATGTTATTTCTAGTTCTAGATCCTGGAGGAATCACCACACTGTCATCCACAATGGTTGAACTAATTTACACTCCCACAAACAGTGGAACAGCATACATATTTCTCCACATCCTCTCCAGAATCTATTGTTTCCTGACTTTTTAATGATTGCCATACTAACTGGTGTGAGATGGTATTTCATTGTGGTTTTGATTTGCATTTCTCTGATGACCAGTGATGATAAGCATTTTTTCTTTCATGTGTCTGTTGGCTGCATAGATGTCTTCTTTTGAGAAGTATCTGTTCATATCCTTTGCCTACTTTGGATGGGGTTGTTTTTTCTTGTAAATTTGTTTAAGTTCATTGTAGATTCTGGATATTAGCCCTTTGTCAGATGGGTAGATCGCAAAAATTTTCTCCCATTCTGTAGGTTGCCTGTTCACTCTGAAGGAGGTTTCTTTTGCCATG